TACAATGGAGTTGTGGACTTATACTCTGCAATTAGTCCATCAGGAATAAACTATATAATCTTTAGACGATAATTCATGTTTGATGTAAATATTTGGCTATTTTCTGCTGTTAGATTTTACCTCATACCTTTAACAAGCCTAAAACAGCAATTTGACCTCATATTTTCAAAGACATTTTCACCAATTTGTGAACATGGGTAGAAATAAAACCCCATGTCCCTGTGTCACACATTTTAATTCCAAACTAGAAAAATTATTTTTTTTAAAATAATTATTAAATTAAAATGTGTTTCCTCACATTTACAAAGAAATCAATACTGAAAAGAGTAATAACATCTACTGGACTAAATAATAATAGCATAATCAAGATGTTGACATTCCACGCCACTTTGAACAAAAGGTTAGGAAAGAAACCCCTATCAATACTTGAGAGAGTAATAACGGTTATTGGACCTATTTTCCTGAAAAATTGTCTTAAGAGAAAGATTTTACAAATTTCAATCAAAAGCAATACTGGCCGCTTGGTCAATGAATGCCAAATGTTTCCTTATAGGAAAATGTTCAATATTACCATTACAAAAGTCTTCATCAGTATGTTTGACTTGGACAGAATGATAAACTAGCTATGTTTGTAATTAAAAAAGATATGCAATAGATGTAATCAGAGTGTGTGTGCATATGTATGCATATATATATATATATATATATATATATATATATATTGCATTTTCAAACATGTTTGGTTGAATAATCTTAACATATCATGTTTATTTGTTTTTATTTCAATCCTCTCAAATTCACAGATCAATTTCTTAATGCTGTTACAATTCTGATTAAGAAAGATGCCATAGTTTTGGTTATTTCTCTTATTTTCTCCCAAGTACTTCCAATCTCATCCATGATCATCTTCAGGGATGAATTGCTAAGACAAAAAATTAATGTAATTGATAGTTGTGAATTTGAAACATACACCATTATAGTCAATTTAAAAATTAACTGTTAAGAATATGTAAGGGTGCTAACTTATATTTTTTTACTATTAATGTTTTAAAATACTCAACTTGCAATTTCTTAAAATTCTTCAAGCACTCGATATAAAAAAAATGCATCAACATTAAATAAAATTATCTATGAGTGAAACAAGGTTTTAAAATGTCTATAAAAGCAATGTTTTGGGATGCTCAAATTGTAACAACACTAAGAAATTGATCCATGAATTTGAGAGGATTACAATAGACATAATACATGTAGATGATTTAACCAAACATGCTTGAATAAAGATGTGTGTATATATATATATATATATATATATATATATATATACACACACACACACACACACACACACATACACACAAGTTGAAGATATTGATTATCAAGTCAAACAACATTATTAAATAAGGAACAAGTTGAAAAATTCATAAATTTAACATATTTTGATATCTAATTTAGCTTCATCAGAATTTCTTTATGTGAAATAATGCAGAGTTTTATAGAAAAAGTGCAAAAAAGTTATGTATACACTCATTATATGAACATATGCTGGAACGTTTTCAACTGAACCAACTCCCAAAATCTGACCAAATAAAATATCTTTGAAAATAGATTCTTGGACAGGCCAAGAACTTTTCAGCATCTTTCTGTTTAAGATAGATAGTCTTCTGCTTCTTGACACACCCAAAAAGAGATAGTCTTATTTTCTAATTTTTTATTTTATCCAATTTGATATTTCTTGGATTATTTTAGCTGACAAATGGGTGTGAGGAGCATCAGCGGGAGAAAGTAGAATCGGGTGATATGATATGGGGAAGTGGTGTCCAACACAGCCAAGAACAACAAGACATTTGTGATTGACAGGGGGGCCTTATCAGCCTCCATACAGAAGATCTACTTTCATGACTCTGATGCAAATACTAATGCATTTTACAGGAAATTTATGCATTGAATTTTGAAATCTTGACATATTTTCTTTTACATAAACACATATATGCATTAACACCAGATTAAAAAAAAAAAAATTAACAGCTGTAGGAATAAGAACAGATTACAAGTGAAGAGGATTCAGATTTATACAAAGGTATGGCAGCTCGGAAAACTCTCTGATCATTCTCATAAGAACTCCAAAATCTTTGGTGAGGGCCTCAAACTCAATATGGAGGCCTACATCAAATGCCTTGAGGAGGTAATGCTACCCTGGGTCAAGAGGGTGGTTGCTGGAAGAACCTATGCCCGGCAACAGGACTCTGCACCATGCCACACAAGCAAGAGAATCCAGTCAGATAATTCAGTCAGAGAATTTCTTCGACCACATCACCCCTTAAATCTGGTCACTTAACACCCCAGTCTACAAGCACCTTGTTATTAAGTGTGGGGCACAGGTGAGCGAGAGACCAACAAAACTTCTTGTAGAACCAGAGATGAACTGAAGGCAAGGATTATGGCAGCATTCACCAACTTAAACAAGGACAGCATCCAGAAGAGTTGAAGGAGATTCCAGAGTTATCTGGAGACCATGATTGAAACCAATCGCTATTTTATTGAATAAATTTATTCTTTAGTATTTCAAAATATTTTTGTGTAATTTAGATAATTCATCCATCATGCTTTGTATATGCAAGGCAATAAAGCCACTAAGATGTAAAGAGTTATTAGAGTGTGAGAGGGTATTAGAAAAAAAATACTCTTAAGGAGAGAGAAAAATGAAAGAATAAAAATTAAGACAGAAGATAACGATTGACATTGCATTTAAATTTTTTTAATATCAACATTAACTAAGAAGCAAAAAGCCAGAAGTGAGTTCCACAAGCAAGATGTGTGGTAAAAGAAACTATTAGCATGGAACTTACAGTTACATTTAGTGATCACAACTGTAAAATGACAAGACCTATCTGCCTATTTAGTACTGCTCTTAAATTTGTGAAGTCTAGTACCATAGAGGAAAGTTCATCATAAAAATTATCATGAAAGTATTAATAGATTAGGCACAGCGAAGCTACTTACAGTGACAGTGAAGTGAGTGAAACAGAGATGCAAGGTCAGAACCAATATTATTACAGATTCTTTAGATTTTATATAAGTTTTAAAGGATAAATTAAAGGTTACTGGTATCAAAATTGAGAAAGCTATGTTTAAAAATTTAAATGCAACATCAATCGGTATCTTCTGTCTTCCTGAAATCCTTTTCTTTTATTGACCTTTCTCCTCACTAAAATCTTCTCATTTTCTTCCACTCCCAGTAACTTTTTGCATCTCAGTGGCATTATTGCCTTGCTTCGGATGAAATGATTAAGAAAAATAGATTTACAGAAAGAGGAAGAAAACTCATAAAAACTGATAAACAGAATTTGTTTTAACTTTTTTAGTCAAGACATCATAGATATATAATTGTCCTTTTACAGCATCTGATGGCAGTTAAGACCAATTCTTCCCTTGAGAATTGAATTGGGCCAAGTACAGAATATAAATTAAATTCTAGTAGCATTTAGTATAAGCTATGGTAACTTTCCTGTTGCATATAGTGTCACAGCTTCATTGTGCTAAGTGTAGCTGTTGTTATTTCTGTAGCAAGTAGGTTTTTATTGGGTGAAATTGCTAATTACATACATAAGCAGTTAGGGATTCAGAATTATTATTCTCCTTGACTGGTTGCCAAACAAAGCTAGAGAACCCAGTAAATATTTAGTGTACCAACCAACAAATTTTTCTTAATATTCCCTACTAAAATCATTGGGGGTCTTGGATGCCATCAAATAAAAAACAACATCTTTCTGTCTGAATTTTTGAGACAAGGTAGCATTGTTATATAATTACTCTTTTGAATACCGACATCCTGATCTTGATGATGTCAGTCCAAAGGAATAATTCCATAAAAAGGTCAGCACTGCTGAATTCATAAAAATACTAAGTATTTATACCTTTATTTACAGTTGGACTAATATCCTCATCTTCGTTACAATGTTTCAATTGTTATGCTGCCATCCAGCCTTCTTCAGGTGTCTGTCAATCTGGGTAGACTAAATTTCAAACTGAACCATCTATTCAGTCTACAGAGGAAGACACTGTCCATGTCTAGGACTATCTCATCTTGGTTAATTGATTTTTTTTTTTAGTACTGCTACAGAAAGCCAGAAAGTACAAGGACTGAAATGTCACAACAGTAACAACAAAAGGTGAGGACATTAATCCAAGTGTAAATAATGTCAAAACACAAGTAACCAAGATATCTCTAGACATGAACAGCAGATTGAGAACAATCTTCCCCTGTACATTGAATAAAGGGTTAAATTTAAAATTCTGCAAAGTTTACCCAGATCCACAGACACCCGAAGAAGACCAGAGAGCACAACAACTGAAGCATTGTGACAGTAGGTATTTACTCTGTCTCCCCACTAAGACAAGTTGTGACACAAGGTCTTTTTTTAAGGTGGGGACCCAAACGTGTACACCCAGGCAAGGAACAAAAATTTCCTGCAGCCACTGCAACCATCGGTTGTGCTGGCCTTGGTGTGAGGACCAATCCCTCTCTCTCTCAATGAGAAGGCACAACCCCGGGCAGCTGTTCCCCAGAGCTGGGCACCCCCTCAGTATAATTTTCCTCAGTTGTAATTCTGTCCTTTGATGGAGTTGCCCCTGAGTGCACTCTGCCCAAGGACAGAGACGCAACAGAGAGATGATAAATGATGCGTTACAAACTACTCGAGAGTAGTTTACACACTGTTGTAACAGTAACAATGAAGATGAGAACAATATTTAAAATGTAAATAAAAAAAAAAAGATGATGTATCCCTCTATAGACATGGACAGCAGAATGAGCAGTATCTATTCTCCGTAGATTAAAGGGGTTTAGTTTTAAATTTCATGAGGGTTATCCAGATCGACAGACACCTGAAGAGTGCCAGAGGGAACAACAGTCGAAATGTTGTGATAGCAAAAATAAGGATACTAGTCAGAATGTAAATAATGTAAAAGAAAAATTCAAATCAAAATTATTTATACCCTACCTTTTTTAAGAAAAGCAGACGAATCCAAGGCGGTAAGTTCCGGTTCTGAAATTTGTGCTTCACCGATCAAGCTGCTTGCTGTCAAGGTAAATAATTCACTCAATCATCACTTGTAAAAATGAAGGTACCATTTGCAGAAGAAAATTTCAACAAACTTTTTTCATATCATGAAAAAAAATTTTGGTCAAACAGATTTTTTTTTAAATAATAAAAGGGAAAAAAACAGATGATGTTAAAGCATAAAAAAAAAATCACATTTTTCCATATTTTTAGGATATAAGGCAGCTGCTATATAGTTTTAGACAAACACACAGAAGGAAAAGAGGAAGAATTGTGAATTGAAAGAGACTCAATGTTTACAGCAATTAGTTCCTAACCATCATGAGCATCATTGCCATTATTATTATTAGAGAGAGTGAAAGTAAGAGATCCTGCCCTCTATATCAGTACAACCTTTTTATATCTCTCTTCCCACCTACACTCTCACCTTGGTTTATTTACACTTTGTGCTAAGTATTTCTACCCACTTTTCTTTTACTGAAAAAGATGACTACAAGATTGGAATGTATGGTGAAAATCTCTGACCTTCCCTTTCAAAAAGTTACATAGGACGTTAAGTAATGATAGACAATTCCGTTGAAAGTAGAAAGGAAATTGCTAAATGTCTGGAAATAATTTACCACCAATTTTTTTTTTTTTTTTTTTAGTTGGTTTTTCAAAATGTGATTCTAAGAATAAATGAAAGACTAGTAAGAATTAATATTTTTTAAAAATAAATAAAATAAAGAGAGAAATAAATATAGTGTTGAAATATTGAATGTAGTTTTTATTGAGTAACCAGAATTTTTATGACCAAGCTTTTTAAGCAAAGCAAAAAAAAAAAAAAAAAAAAAAAAGAGGCTAAACAAACAAGAGGTTAAAATGCATATGTAACACCAAAAGCTACGAGCAACCTTCAACATGAAACAAAGAAAATATTCATAGTTTCAAAAGACACTATTTTTCATTCATTTTTCTTTTCAGTATTTAAAAATTGTTTTTAATTACTATAGGTAATTTTTAATTCATTGTATGAATAAATCAAAGTAGAAACAATCTGAAATCAAAAATTAAAATAGATATGAACTAACATATCATCAAGTCTGTGTGACTAGTAATTTAATTTTTTTAATTTCCATATCCATACGACTTGTTTAATAATTATATAATAATATTTAATACAACATGTTATATAACATTACATAATAATGCTAAATAATTATAAAGGGTGTCCATGAAGTCTGAACATGTAGGAAATCACATTAACTATATTTTTTTTTTTTTACCTCTGCAGATTAAATATGGTTTTGTTGAAAGAAGGAAAGAATTGACTTCTTTTTCTGGGGTATGATAAAAGAGAAGGTGTACTCAAAGAAAATCACAGATGCAACAAACTTGATTGAACCCATAAAGAGTGAATGTGCTAAAATTGATGGCAATGTGGAGTTACTGCATCAAGTTCACATGAATCTTGCAAAACGCATCAACCTTTACATCACAAATGGTGGAAATCATATTAAAAATGTTAATATTCCAATTCAATAAAATGTTGAAAATTTAATTACTTGAAAATATGCATTTTTGCCTAGGGTATACAAACTTTAGAGACACACAATGTAAAGAAAACAAAAAGCAATGTTTATTTAAGAATTTCATACACATAAAGCTTTTCTATTAAAGTAATCAATTAAGTACTTGAAAACAAAATATGCAATATTTTTGATCAACATTCTTTTTTTTTGTGGAATGTGACATTGTAATAAATTTAAAGCCATCAAATCCTCAAACTCACTGACCTACAGTTTCTGGTAGTTTAGGGTTTATATATGTTTTTTATAGTGTTTTTACTGTAATTTTTTTATTCTTTTACTCAAAAACAGGATTAATCTGTACATGAAGCCTATCAGAAATTAATGTCGTCAGCCATAAATCAAGGGTTCATTTCCAAATGAGACTGACTTCTCCACAATACATCAAAGGAAGAAAATGAGTAAGAAGGGAAAAAAAATAAATTAATTTATTGGAGTAAAATAAAAAAACTTTTTGCATCCAAAAGAGATAATAATAATAATAATAATAAAGACAGGCAATTTTTGGGTCATAAAACTTCAAAAGAAAGAAAAACATTACAGAATAAAAACACATTCTTACTTTTGAAGAACAAAGAATGGAAATAGATGGAATTATTTAAACAATTTCTTTGAATACAATAGAAAATGAAATGACAATATATTTGAAAATAAAATTTTCTTACCAATTCACATAACTGCTGTACCAAAAAATTTTCAAAATTAATTTGGTTGTTATAGCATTTGTTAGAATTGAATAACTACTTCAATATATTAAGGATAACAAATCCACAAATAATCAATATATTAATGATGATACATACACACAAAAATTTTAGGATAATATATTAAGGATCATAATACACAAATATTTATGTGCGTTTGTAGGATGTAATATTTTACGTGTGTTTGTCAGAGGTAATATTTATGTGTGTTTGCTGGATGTAATATTTATGTGTGTTTGTCGGATGTGGTATCTGAAACAAAAGTAGAGATAATGTGACAAAGTGGAAGACCCATAAATGACATGTTTTGCCAATTTCTGTTAGTTCCAGCCTTTTCAGGTCAGTATAAAAAACACAAGTGTGTTTAAGGAAAATTTGTTGGGATTTTTGAGGATAAGAGGGGCCATAAATTAAATTACTATATCATATTCAACAACCAGAAACTAGAAAATGTTTGTTTTATACATAGATACATAAATATCTTATAGAGCAGTTGACATTATCCTTTAAAATCCCAAATTGGCAAAACACATTGTTTATAGCTTTTCCTCTGTCTCATGATTTCCACAAATATTTATATATTAAGGATAACACATCCACAAATATTTTATGATTTGTTAATAAGAATAACAAATTAATTTTATATATTAAGGATAATGCATACACTAATATTCACTATATTAGAGATATCATATGAATATTCTTCAATATATTAGGTAACACATAAATATTCGATAAATAATGGATAGTATATACATGAATATTATAATTCAAATAAAAGGTTAAGAATATATATTCATCATTAAAGCCTGCAGAATCAGCAAGAAAAACAAAAATAGAATAAAAGAAAATGTTTAATTGAATTTCAAAAATAGGTAATTGTTCTAATAAATCTTATTTTATATTCAAATTCATCTTCACAGAACAATGTTTTCTTTTAATCACAAGAATAAAGTATAATTTAAACAACAAGAAATACTTAAATACTTACAATTTCCATACACGAACTCAACTTATTAATTTAAAACAATATAAAATAAATCTAACTTAAATGCCAATAAAACCTAATGAGCCAGCACCTACCTACCTACTAAGGATTCACCTAATGGATCTTTAGGTATTTTAGTTTTTGCTCTACATAGTGTATTGAGCACTTTTACATTTTACTTAATTTACTCCACCAGTGTTTTTTTCTTTTGACTTGGCATTGTGGTGCTGATCAATTATTTTTGACCAACATGGATGTTTTTAGTCTTTTCTTTTTTTATTGAATCCCCCCCCCTCTGTCAAATATATTTTTATTTGCAAATTATATTATCTGGGTTTATTTCACAGTGCCCGAGTATAGGCATTAAAATAATACATAATAATTAATTGCCAATATATAAAAGGTAGATAAACAAATACATGAAACAATTAAAAATTATACTGAATCCAATGGCTTGTAAGCTTAAATTGTACAACTATTGGGGTTTAAGGTAAGTGATAGTCACCAAATCTTCAAAAATATCCATATAAACCATGAATTGTATAGATCAGTGAATATGGTAACTTTAATTGTTATTTTAATAATTTTTCATGTAGATAATAAAAAAAACTGCTTTCCTCTAGCCATCATGGCAAGAATAAAAAGTCAACAAAAAGAATGAGATTTATAAAAAGAAAAAAAAATTGAATAAAACAAATAATCTGAGAGGTTTTATAAACACAAGACTGAATGTTGAAAAATATGAACAATGGGAGCAGTTTCATTAATGACAAGTTGAAAAAAAACTACTTTTTTATTGCAGGACAACTCAGGGCTGCATCAGGACAACTCAGGACTGCCAACTGAGCATCAGGACAACTCAGGACTGCCAACTGAGCATCAGGACAACTCAGGACTGCCAACTGAGCATCAGGACAACTCAGGACTGCCAACTGAGCATCAGGACAACTCAGGACTGCCAACTGAGCATCAGGACAACTCAGGACTGCCAACTGAGCATCAGGACAACTCAGGACTGCCAACTGAGCATCAGGACAACTCAGGACTGCCAACTGAGCATCAGGACAACTCAGGACTGCCAACTGAGAGGCATCAGGACAAGGACAACTCAGGACTGCCAACTGAGCATCAGGACAACTCAGGACTGCCAACTGAGCATCAGGACAACTCAGGACTGCCAACTGAGCATCAGGACAATATAACATTTTTATAACTGAATAAAAGTAATTTATGAAGGATTAAAACCTTAATTAGTGAATATATTTTTCTTCAAATAAGGCATTCAAAAAGGCATTTGTAAAATATGAACCAGTTTTTGTCTTTAATTATTTTTAATAAAGTCAATCATAAAGAAATTTATTTTTTAACAAAGTAAACTGACATAAAAATAATTTAATAAAAATTACTTGTTTTTAATTATTTTTTAATAAAGTAAATTAAAAAATGCAAAACAAAATGAAGCAGTTTTTTTGCTTTTAATTATTTTTAAAGTAAATCATAATGCAATTTATTTTTAATAAAGTTAATAGACATTCTAAAATATTTTTATATAAAATATTTTACAATTTACTTTATTCAGTTATAAAAAAATATATAGTTGTCCCAGCAGTCAGTTGGTGGTGATGAGTTGTCCTTTCCCATTTTTATTAAGGATAACGAGAATGAGGAAAAATAGAAACAATTGAACGATTTTAAAACATTGAGTTAGGAATGGATAAATAAAGAAAAATTAGGTTAGCCATTTTTAGATAATATTAA